CGAGAGAGAGAGAGAGAGGAGAGAGAGAGAGAGAGAGAGAGGAGAGGCTAGCTTATTAAATATGCGCCATCGGCCATACGCGTACTCCTCAGCGATGTTTCTCGAACGATGAGCGGGCAACTTTTTCGCCCCTCCCCGCCTCGCCCCTCGTCACGCCACTGCTCGACTAGCCTCGCCTCACCTCACCGTACCTCACCTCACCTCACCTCACCTCACCTCACCCTCGCCTCACCTCACCCTCGCCTCACCTCGTCCATCCACGTTCCAATCGTCATCCAGCATGACTACGCCATTTGATTTTTCAATTTTTTCCCTTACGATTTCTTCTTTCTCGTCCTTTTTTCTTCCTCCCTTCTCTCTCTTTCTCTCGCTTCATCCTCCTCCTCCTCCTACCTCACTCTCACCCTCTCGTGCTTTCGCCCCCCCCTCCACACAATAACCCCTTTTCCTTGCCGTCGCTTCAATCGCTCTCTCTCTCTCTCTCTCTTTCTCTCTCTCTCCCTCTCTCACTCACTCACTCACTCACTCACTCACTCACATTTTCTCTCCTTTTTCTTCATATTAAACGCTATCTGGCAGCGCGCGCGACACGATACACGTAAGTGAACGCTCGCGCGCGCGCGCGCGCGTTCGAACTCGCGTACGCACACCCACAGACACAACCACCATTTACACTATCCACCTCTTGTTTTTCCTATTCCAGTTTACGTTTTGCTCGCGCCAACATTTATTTTCGTCGATTTTTCTGACGTAACTTCATTAAGGCCCGCATTGAATACGAAGCTTTTTGCGCACATTCCTCACCTCCAACTGCCCACTTATATCGAGGCCTTCCCTCTCTGTCGCTCTCCTACCTTCTTCCTGCAGCTCAATAATAATTAACGCTTCATTATAACTTATAAATATCAACGCTTACGTGGCGCTTCCTGCCCTTTTCGCGATTATGACGATTAGACGCGCTTTCTTTATACTTAGCCACTCGGCTCATCAATTATTTTATGATTTGTGCATTTAGGGAAGCACCCGTTCGACAACACTTAAAGAATGTCTACGGATGCCTGTCCCTCTCCACTGTGTCAGCCGCAGCTGGGGCCTACGTTCACATGTACACCAATTTTCTGCAAGCTGGTTTGCTGTCGACTCTTGGGACTCTCGGACTGATCTTTGCCTTAATTTGCACACCCGATAATGGAAAGAATCGATCGCTTCGCTTAGGATATCTCCTAGGATTTGCATTTCTTACTGGATTTGGAATGGGTCCACTTTTAGCGAACGTAATCAGCGTTGACCCTAGCATTGTTCTTACAGCACTGATCGGTGAGTTCTAACGTTGGGCGATTTTTTTCCCATTTTCCTTCTGTAAAACCTACTTTTAGAGCTTATAATTTATAATGTTATGGCTTTAGCTGCTTTATAATGTAAAACTGATTAATATTTATATTTCCCAAACGACCGTTGGCATGGCAATTGTGAAAGTATTCCATGCTTCGTTCAAGGATTTATACGACTATTTGGATTACATTGAAAGAAATGATTTTTTTATTGAAAAATATGAAAGTGAAATGAATAAATTGAATAAAAAATACTTTAATAGCCCAACTAAGTTCTTCTATACCTATTATATATAATTTTCATTGTGTAAAGTTTCGATGTTTAGCTGTAGGCTGCTCTCTCCTACTATAATAACTAGTTAAAGTGTTGTTTTATTTTCTTTTTTCTGTTATTTTTTTTTTTTTGTTTTTTTTTTTTTTTAAATATACACCAATGTTAAATAAAGAAAACAAGACTGTGCATTTTCATGCATTTCTGTCTACGCTAAGTACTATTATTCTTGTCTTTTTTTATTGTTTGGTCTTTTTCCTTCAAATTATTATTTAAATTAAGTTTGCAAAAAAATATCGACGCATTATTAGTATCAATTTTACTTAATGTACTCAACGGTTTTTCTTGCGATTAAAAAAAAAACAACAAAATAATAAATTAATAAAAAGAAAGATATTAAAGACTTGGCGTGCAAATTTTCTTGTTCTCTTTTTAACGGTGTCAAGATATAGTTTATTTACAGCTTATTTCTAACATTAAAGCCTAATGAAACGTTAAATGTTTGAAGAAAAAAAGGCAAGCACGGGTTGTAGAATTAAAGCGCGCCTCGGAGCACGACAGTTTATAACAAAGCGTTAGCAAACTTTCAATTTTAATATTAAGTATTTAATCGTCGACGATACTTTCTTTCTCCGATGACAACAAATAAAGTTTAACACACGGTGTAATTGAATTGATTTTATTACAGGTACGACCGTAGTCTTTGTCTCATTTAGTATTTCATCCTTGCTATCCGAGCAAGGCCGATGGCTATATCTTGGTGGAACTTTGATGAGCGCTCTCAACATAATGGTATTGCTCTCCCTTGGTAACATCTTATTCAGATCACAGATGATCTACCAGATTCATTTTTATCTTGGTTTGTTGGTGATGTGTGGATTCATTATTTATGACACACAACTTATCGTCGAGAAGAATCGAATGGGTAGCAAAGATTATATCGCTCATTCCCTTGATCTATTCATTGACTTTATCAATGTATTCAGACATTTACTTGTCATACTTACACAGAAAGTTAGTGTTGTTAATTTATCAATCATAAGTAGTTTGCGCTATCGTACGATTTTTCTAACCACATTCTCTTTTTAGGAGCAAAGAAATAACAAACGCAAGGAGTGAGTTGGCAGAGGCATTTCAAGTAAATCCAGAAAATAGAGGTCTTCGTCTATCCTATCCATACATAGTTCTATACATATGCGCATATACATAATATATACAGACATACTTATATACAAATATATATTTACAGATATAACTATTCTAGTATCTTATAAGTGAAACAAGTGAATAACATAATGAACGAGACTTACAGCTTTTCCTACAATAAAAACAAACAAAAAAAAAAGAAACAAAAAACAAAAAACAAAAAACAAAAAAAAAAACCAAAAAGAAAATATATATATATATACATTGGCATGAAATGATTGAAATTCAATTGTTTAAAGTTGCGAAGAGATTCTTGTGTCTCCATTTCGAGTGTGAAAATAACAGCACTGCGAAACAATAAGAAAAACTAAAATGATCATTTTTCATTTGCTAGAATGGGAAATTTTTGTTATTTCTTTTTTGGTAAGATGATTAAGAACAAATTATTGTAACATATATATCTTAAATGGGATTTTCAACATTTTACAGCACGACGGAAAATCAATTTTCATTATAATTCTTTTGGGATAGCATTATTTTCTATTAAATGCCATGATTTCTTTTTGGGTTTCTCCTTTCCAATGGTAAATCATAGTTGTCGAGCTAGCACTACTAATCAAATTCTTTCTATTTTGCTAAGAAGGAGTGATTTTTCACTTTGTTTTTTTCCTTTTTTTTTTCTTTTTTTCTTTTTTTTTTCTTTTTTTTTTTTTTTTTTTTTTTTTTTTTTTCCCGTCAGTTTCATTCTTTTAATTTTTTTTTTTTTTTTTTTTTTCTTTTCTATTCAAGAGAACTGATTTTCCGAATGATTTTTGACTATCGTCACATTTTATCGGTGTTAATTTTTACAATTCGGCACCGTTTATACCGGTAACAATTGTACTATATTTTGTCTTACAATAAAAGAAATTTACCAGTTTGTAGCCTTACTTTCTTTGATATTGTTGAATATCAGTTATAAACTTACGATAAATTGATTTTATCTTAATATTTTATTTAAAAAAAAAAAAATAATAAAAAAAAAAATAAATAAATAATAATAATAATAATAATAATAATCAAAATATGCAGATTATAATTTAATGAGTAGTTAATCGATAGTTAGTTAATCGATCAAAAAAATTTATAATTTATAATTGAACGATGAAAACATTATTATTCATTAAATTATACGTTTATGGTACATTAATTATTAGGTGCTACTTACATAATTTTTGTATAGTTACATTATGGCTATTCAACTAATAATTTGTTACACTGTTTTTACTAATAATTTGAATCAATGTGAAAATCATAATACTGTAACGAATGATCTATAAATTTTGTACAAACAATTATTTCCTAAGAACTAAATGAGCTAACGTATTGTTACATTTTAGTAATCACTCCTCAGTAAATAATTACATATAAAAATATACCTATGATTAAGTCAACACATGCTATAACTTTATATTGTTCTTATAACTTAAATAATTCAAACAATATACGATGTATATATTTAATATAAATAATAAATTAAAATGTTTTCAATATTTTTTATTTTTGTAATTTTATCATAATTTTCTCTCGAGTTCAGTAACTAACTTTCTTGACTAATAGCTACTCTGCATTTACTGATAAAAATGTTTAAAAATGTCGTACGAATGCAATTAGAATATTTCTTATTTTACAAAGTATTTAGAAAAGTATTTAGGGTCAATGACAGTTTCATTATTATGGTTATATTTTTAAAACCGAATATTTTAATCAACGTGTTTATCACAATTTTAGTTAAATATTATCCGAATGCTAAATTTACATATAATTTTTTACATTGATTATTAAGTAAAAGTTTCAAAGCTTGTGACGCGCAAATTTTTGCCAAATGTTACAAAGTACGTACGTTTATAAAAGAAAATTGTCTAATATAAAATAATCAAAACATTTCGTATCGATTGAAGAAAGCATTAAACAATAAAGATTAGTATTTCATAGAGTTGCTTTTTTTAATTTGTTTGCATTAATGTCGTGCCTATTTGCCAAGACTACAATTAAGAAATTAATTTTTCTATACACAACAAGTATTAAGAACAGTACAAATATCTTATTTAAAGTAACTAATTTCTTGTTTATTGCTTACTGCATTACTCAACATTTGACAAAAATATGTTCAAATTTAATAATTAATGGCCATAGTAATTAATTGGCTTGTTTATAAAACAACATTCTTTAAAATTAAATAAAATAATGACAAAAATACAGGATAAAATGGCTTTTGTTAATTTGCTTAAATAAATTAGTTTATTTTTATTATTTTATAATTAATTTTATATTTGAATAATATTTTTGCTTAGCATTAATAATTAAACTGAAGCGGTATTAAGTGGGTTTACTGGAAATAAATTAATTATGCTGCTGATTCATAACCACATACTTTTATTAAAAAGGAAGAAAAGTTTTTTTCAATTTTAAATATTTAAATGCCGTTACATAAATCTTATTAGATTATCATTTACATAACGTAATTGCATATACTTTTAAAAGTTCAATGGTCTTAATATTAGAAAATATCTCGCAATTTTGTGTTAATTTTTTAGGTACATTTTTTTTTTTTTTTTTTTTTTTTTTTTTAAAATTTTTTTTTTTTTTTTTTTTTTTTTTTTAAAGCATTTTTATTTTGTACAAATTATACTTATTATACAAATTGTATACGTAGTATTCATTAAATAATGAATTTGACAAAAAGTACCATAAATTAAATGTAACGCTAGAATTGCAGTTATATGGCACTGCTAGAACGTTTGTAAATATTTACGAATATTAATTTTTATAACAATAAATGAATTGTTATTTAATAATTAAATTAAATAAGCATAGTAAATAGTTTTCATAAATAATAATCGATGTGTATTAGTAAAATTATGATGAAATAAATCGTGTTTAACCAACAGTGTCACATCACTACTGTTTCCTATTTGTTTATAAATTTTTGAAAGTTTTCAAGCACACGTTTCAATAACAAAAGCATTTAATGATTTTTCTATCATTATAATTAGTTTCAGTATACTCCTATGTATTCTTTTATTTAACACTATTGCATAAAGTGTATTAATAAATTTATTGTACAGCTCGCGATAGATAAGTCGCAAGTTTGAAATTTTCAAGTGTTTTTTCTTTTAAATATAAAATTGATACTTAATAAACTTATTAATGTCGATTTAATGCTTTTAAAGCAATCTAAGTATTCTTTATTGTGATTTAATTTCGTATATATTTTTAAATTAAATTTACAAGTGTTCGTATTAGTATTTTAGAATAATTATTTTTTCTGCATCAACCAGTATTATAATAAATAGACTAGAATTCTATGAATGTCGCTATTACTATAAAATAAGTCAAAGGGCGTTTTATAATTTACATGATATTTAATTTATAATTACTGGATTTATCAATTTTCTCCAAAGAGTTTATAAATCTATTTTGAAGTACTTATCAGTTGTTGATGTAGTATCAATCACATAATGCTTCATAGTCTTGACAATCAGACAATATAATCGTTTAGGTTTCTCACCATTGATTTTCATTCTTCCGTCTCAAATAAAAAAAGTACAATAAAATATTAATATTATGTTACTTGAAAAATATATTGAGCATGAAAATTTCTTGTTATATTAAATTTGTTAAATGTTTTATTTGATCGTTTGCCTTTAGTGTTATTATTGTATGTAATAATAATTATAAAAAAAAAAAAAAAAAATCAAAATAAAGATTAAAATTTAAAGAAAGAGTTATTTTATTTGTTTATTGACTTATGCCCAATTGCTTGCTAATAAATATTTAAAAAGTTAGCTTTATGTTTAAATATCGATTACTTTCTTTAGCATGCCATATTAGACAATTTCAATGATTTGTTTCATTTTTGTTTAAAATATCCTTATAGTTTTATTTATCCCTATTTATGTTATTTCTAAATTTTATTTATAAATTTTATAATGAAACGAACATTAAGTAACTAAAGTTTGTCCTCATTTTATATAATAAATACAATTTTTAATTATAACGTATTACCTTAAACAAATAATAGAAATAAACATATATTGTTTGTTTAACAAATTAGTTTTAACAAATATAGTTTAATTTAACAAATATATTTTAACAAACATAGCTTGACAGATAGTACGAGGAAGAATAATTTTGTTCTTTCGAGTGATTAAAATGATCGAATAATCTCAAATTATAAATAAACGACTTTCGATGCGTAATTAATATTTTAAAGATCGCGATAACCGACATTCTAACAATATTTAAATAGTTAACGATTATATAAAATAATAATTTTTATTTGAATAAAATATTTTTTAAGGTTTTTATACATTTACGTATTTGTATATTATTGGAAATATTTTGATGCGAGAGATAATATTGTATTTATTATTTTTTACTATCGATGCTACAGTAAAAACATAAGATTTTAATTGATCGACAATGTTTTAATTTAAAATAATTGTGGTGAAAGCATATAAATATTAATTAAACGATTAAAAATTTATCATCCGAAGTAATACAAGCTTTTATTTACAAACTTTTATTTACAAAAAAGAATTAATAATTTCATAATGAACCGCGGTCAATCTAATCGTGTATTTTGCAGTAAATTGTTGTTTGTTTTTTTTTTTTTTTTTTTTTTATACTAAGACTTGGATAAGTTGAATGGCTTGGTGAATGGAAAAGGTGTCAATATGGCAATTTGAAAGTATCATCGTGGGCATCTCAAAATCTCTCGAAATCGTCAAAAATTTGTAAAACTGCCGCAGGCAGAGCCAGTAAGACGGCCAGCGTGGTTCTAGTTCGGAGTCATTTCGCTTTCACCGCTGGTGAAAGCATTGTCGACACACATGGCTTAATAACACTAGATCCAGTAATCGATTCCACTACTAAGAATTGCCGATTGTGGTGCGCATAAATTTCAAATTGTAATTAATGTCGCGAAGCCAGGGGTGCGGAAGGGCTGCGGAAGGGCTGCGAGTTGGCGTGGCAATGAAAGGGGCGCGACGCTAGACATTCGCAAATGTGCAAAAAGTCCCGGTAATCGTTGGGAAGGAGAAACCAAGCTCCATGTGAGCCTAACGCGAAAATTCATTTTACGGAGGAATGGAGGACCGAGTTAGTTAATAATAGTTAACGGGAGTATTTCCTTTGAGGCTCCATTTAAAACTTATT